AGATGCCGAACACCCTTAGCAGGATGCAGCGCACCCTTCATGCGACTCGCCGAATATCTCACGGCGCTTCGCGCTTGGTGATGTGAGAGCCTGGTCCGGTGAGAACCCGGCGTGCTCCGTCCCGGCTTCGTAGGGATGCGAGGTCAATGGTCCAACGACTACGGCATGCACGACTATGAGTACACCCCCCCCGCCCGGCCTCCCGCCTACAACAAGCCAACACCTACCCACGTTCCACAAACCAGAGCGAAGAACGTAGGCAAAAAGAATGCGCAAATCACCTACTTCGTAACTAGAAGCTCTGCAACTATTGTGCCATCCTCGCTCCTTACGTTATCAGCGGAGAACCAACAGAGAGGACAGTAGGTTCTGGTGCTGGCAGGGTCCAATTGCTTGTTCTTGTGAAAGCCAAACCCTCAACATCGAAACTACCAACTTCGGCGGGCACGTTCAGAATATGAGAACAATATTACGAAGGGAAAGTACTGCGTCGCCAGAGGGTTAGCATGTAAGGATCAACCACCAACGCCAAGACAATGATGTTGTTTGACCAGAGGCAGGAAAGGAGGTGGAGGGGAGGGAGAGGCTATTCGGGGGGTATCTTGCTGCGGGGTCGTGCATCGTGCCATGAGGTGTGTCAGTTCCGTCAGCCCCGGCCTGCCGTTCGATCAAAAGAGCGGATTCATCTTCTCGAGGCGTGTAGGAATCAATAACGCAGCATCTTTGAAACGCAGCAAAGTCTACAGGTGGTGTATGCTGCTGCAGATGACGACACCGCACGGGTAACCTTGTCGGGGCCATACTTGTACTCCACCATCGGTTTGACTATCCGATTTCGCGGTAAGCAGCAGCAGTAGAGAGCACCACCACCGACTGGAGGAAACGTGCTTGTCTGGAGATGGAATCAACTGAATGAAACCAAAGGCTTCCCTCCTGTACGGCACGCGACCTTGAGCGTACGGTCGTGCTGCGGCAAAGGCCTCACCCAATGGTTGCTCGCAACACTCACCTGCTTGGTGGTTCATCGACATCGCCGTGCTTAACAACACCCTAAGGTGCATCCACTTCCCAACTGAAAGGGTCGGTCAGGAAAGCGACACTCGAACCCTAAGGCCTAACAGCGTTTGTTGTATCGTGGGAGCTCTGATTGTGGAACGAACTTCTTAGACAGCTTTTCGCCCCTGTTTTTGTCTCCACAGCAGACAATCTAAAGTATCTACGAATCCACCACATGATGCGACTGCGGCGGTCGGTTGTTGCTGTTGGAGGTGTTGGTACCACTGCTATTTTAATTAACAATGTTGCCATCACATCAGTACACACGCCCCACAGAGCAGCCCTCGCCGTAAGAACCAAACATAGACTACTTGTCTTTCTGGCACCCCTCGCAGATGATGACCGCATCCGATGCAATCTATTTGACCGGTGGTGTAGCTGTGTATGCACGGAGCAGAGGTTACATCCATGACTGACTTTTCTAGAGTGGATTTTCTGATTTTCTGCTACGAGACACAGCGAGCCGGTTTTACCGAACGAAAGAGTTTCAATCTACATCAGTTAGTTACCTTCCAACGAGAAGTCTGACACGATCTCCGCCTTCGTAGCCCCTCTCCGTCTCTCTCTTCTGTCCATCCTGCTGCTGCCCGCCATCGTCCGCCCCCGGCGGCGGTCGGATGTAGGATGGATACAGCTCTACCGTTGCAGGTGCCCTGTCTCCTACTGCTGGTGACGCCGGTGTCGGATCAAATGTCACTTCATCATCAGCAGCAGGGGGCTCGCCAGTTTCCTCGCCCCTTTCTGCCCCGCCGTGCCCCGACAGAAGCTTGGAGTCCTGCGGAGAGTCTCGGCCTCTCTCGGTCCGATCCATCGCCTTCCGTCCGGCAAACGGCCCGTGCTGTGCCTGGCACGCCGGGTGCCGACGGTCGGAAGCTCTCGCTATCTTGTGCTTGCCGCAATTGATCTGCGCAGAGGACCGCAACGTCCGAATGTAAAAATGGGGGGGGGTAGGTAGTCCATGATGCGGGCCCTCTCGGCTATGCTGCCAAACAGGACTGGGATACAACCCGTGTTTTAGAGAGACAGGAGTGGAGGGTGGTTATGGGGTACCGACAGCTGGCGATTGCCATGCTCTCGCTGGCACACCGCTCGTCTTCCTTCGTGCCAAGAGCACTGACCACGGGCAGCAGCAGAGGGAGAGCACGTTCACAGGTAAAAATGTACTTCATGTGTTTTTCTGTCCAAACCCACCGCTCGCTTCCAGCGAGCCAACACCGATGATACCGATGATGATGTTTCCAGACGCCGGTGCTTTCCTTGGCCGACTAGGGCGCCACTATGCCTACTGCTGCAGGTGGTATTCCTGTGCTGAGGCGGTGTGTTGAACTGCTGTGGGTTCTCGAGAGAGACATCCACCGTCGGGTTTGCTCACATTTGTAATTACGTCATTACTTCCCTCGACAGGGTGCTGAGTTAGACCGACGACCTTGCGTTGTACCAACAGCAGTTTCTTGTGTGCATGATCTTCGCCTCGCGCAATAGGCAGCATCCGAAGTGCTACCTCCTTTCCTCCATTCCCTTGCAGCAAATACGAGCAATGGATGTGCGAAAATAGTCTAAAAAAATTCCCAGCAGCACTTAATGAAACTGCTTACAAGTGGAGAGACAATTTGATCGAATGTAACCATAACAGAACATGTGATCGCTAAACGTGTAAACATGACAGTAGACTGGTATGCACCACAGCAGCAGTAACCTCGGTGTGGGCTGTGTGGGTGGTTTTTTAGATTCCCGATGACTTCTTGTTGTTTCCTCCAAAACGCTAGTACGCCAATGAAACGGGGTCAGTTTTGTATGGTAAACACATCAGCCTTCTCCATGCACCATCGTCCCTCTCCGCCACGACCACCTGGCCCAAATGCCTTGGGGTCACCAGTAGAGGTGCGTTGCTCTCGGTGTACGGCAGTAGTCTACAGCAGTTGACTCCCCCGCACGAGAGGTCTCAGTTATGTCGGGCACGACAGTCCACCGCGGGGCAGGGAGGGGGGGGAGACGTTTCCAACACGTCAAGAATTGCCGAAATGGTCTTCTGTTGCTCTGTTCGGGCGCAAATATGCCGGATCGCGCAAGAGGTACGCAACACATTCACTGCAGAGACTCCAACACATGCCATTCGACTGTGGTACCATCTCGAACGGGTACAAGTCTTTCCGTGTTTGTTTTTATTTTTCCCAACAGATAGAACCTGCATCATACGGACGTACAGAAAATCGGTCTCGGCTTGAACGCAGGTAGACTGCTGCTGTTGGTGCAAGGCGGTTTTGTGCATCATCAGCAAGGTCGCGTGCACAGCACGGCGTGTGAGTTTGCGCGTGCTACACGGAGACCGCAGCTCGTGTCCCCCGTCCCGCGACGGCATTTGCATGGAGTGCGGGCGGTCTCCGAAGTGCACGGGCCATTTTGGTGTCTGCAGGAGGCTGGCCCCCTCCTCTCGGACAAGTGCTATATTTTTTCTGGTCGACACGGAAGTTATCGGCGCACAACCCACTTGCCGTTGCCAAGGTTGTGGCGATCATGACAGCAGTGCAGTGTTTGGCTGGTGCGTACACGTACATTATCGTATCCTTCATTTAACAAAACACGCTTGGCGTTGCAGGCATGGAGTCGGGCCGGCACGGTGACACGGATGTCGTCGTCGTCGTCGTCGTCGTCGTCAGCATCATCCACCTGCCACGACACGAAGGAGAAGCCGCCGTACTACGTGACAACCCCTATCTACTACGTGAACGACAAGCCGCACATCGGGCACGCCTACACCACGCTAGCGTGCGACGTGATCGCTCGCTTCATGAGGCTCGACGGGAGGGAGGTGATGTTCTCTTGTCGGCTTCTGTACAGTACATCGGTTATTAACTTGGGGGGAGTGGGGGGCGGGGCGCAACGACTCAACATTGCTAGGGGTTTTCCGAGCGTGGTTTTTCTCCGTCTCTCGAGGAGTCTGTTGAGTCCCCCGAGAATACCGATAATTAATTTATGATATTCCAACGGATAATCAAATGCTCGAAAATGATGGTGAACCGTGGTCATTGATATTTTACAGCTGGCCGGGAGGCGAAACACACCGACGACAACGTTCCCATGTTCGCTTCTTTCCCAACGGCAGCACGTTGCTTTCAACGAAACGTTCATTATTAGTCACCCATCCACGCTGCCCTTTTCCGTTTTTATTTTTTGTATTGACTGTTGGTCGTTTACAAACAGGTCATGTTTCTGACGGGAACGGACGAGCACGGGCAGAAGGTGGAGGCGTCGGCGCTTAAGGCCGACAAGTCGCCGCAGCAGTTCTGCGACGAGGTTTCGCAGGAGTTCAGGTATGCGATGGCTCGTTTTTTTGTTGTTGAAAGTGACGGGTGGTGTTGGGGTCGGCAGCCCTGCGTTTGTGATGGGGATGGTAGTGTGGTGAGGTAGTGACAGCAACAGTTTTTGTAGTAATAGTGGTTGTGATGGGAGATAGTTTTCACCTCCCATCGTGGATGGTGTTGGAAGATCGTCCGGTGGCGATTCCCATCGCTCTTGATTCCATCCATCTTTCTCTCTTCTGTATGTATAAATAAAATACCTGTCCGTCTCTCTAATGATATATTTATCCTCGCAATCTATCTATTCATCTTTGAACATAGCTACTTTGCGAGAATCCCTCTTTTAAGATGGCGGCAACGGCGGCACGGTACCCACATTAGCCGCTCCGTTCCTCATTTCCTCCAATTCTCCCTTACCTCTTCTGCCCCCCCCCCGTCTCTGTTGCTTGTGCCGAGAGAGAACAGAATCTAAAGAAAGAATCCAAGGATAAGGAGGGTCTAGACGTGTACGGAATGTTGAAGGAAGGAATAGGGTTCAGGGATTACCTACATGGACCAATGGATGCAGGAACAAAGCTTAAGGTCAAATTCAGGACCGGGGACACAGGCCTTCGAGAACGTCGACGAAGACATAGGACGGTAGACGAGGAAGACGACGAGTTCAAATGTGATTGCGGCTTCGAATGCGAAGACCGTGTTCATGTAGTCGCGGAATGTCCGTTGTACAAGAAGTAGAGGGAATCGTACGTGACTGAGCTGGGAAAAATAGATAGGACGTACAGGGAGATGTTTGAGGCATGGAATAGAGAGGAAAGGACGGTAGCTGTAGTGGGGCATAGGAGGTGGGTTGAAAAGGCGGGAAGGGATATCGTTAGGATAGACAGACTAGGGAAGACATTTTTGAGCCACCTTTGGCAAAGTAGAAAGGAACGATTGGCCATCGGTGATNCACAAGAGTACGCCCCCCCCCGCCCTCCCCCCCTCTCAACCGTACATACAATACAGAGACTTGTTGAAGACCATGAATTTCAGTAACGACCGCTTCATCAGGACGACGGACGCATCGCACAAGGCGGCCGCGTCTGCTTTGTGGAACAGGCTGAAGGATAGGGGGTGAGAAGGCGATGTGGAACTGGGAAAGGGGGTGCACTCGTGTAGACGCATGCGGTTGTCGTTAGACCACCGACCTCGCATACCTCATATTTGTACAACAATGCCAGCAACCAAAAATAACAACAACAACAACAACAACAACAACAACAACAACAACAACAGCAACCAACCAACCAGCCGCAACAGCAGGAAGGCGGGGAATCACTGGCTTTATTCCTCTGCCGTCGCCGCCGCCCCCACCACCATTTGCGTGTTCAGGCAAATTTCGCTGGGGGTGTACGCCGGGTGGTACAGCGTGAGGGACGAGGCCTTCTACGGGGAGTCGGAGCTGGTCGACGGCAAGGCGCCCTCAGGTGAGCTACAAGAACGACACACTCCCACGCACACTCCCACGCGGACAGGTGGAGGGAAGCAAAGGTACAGCGACTTCGGTGTCCGAAGGGAAAAATGGATCCCGGGGAAATCTCGATGGCTAAAAAGTGTGGCTGCTTTTTCTTTTCGTTTTCTCCCACGCTCGAAGACTGAGGTGATTTCATTGGTCAGCTGATGAGCGCAGTCGATGCTTCTTGCAAGACACAGGCTACGGTTTCACACGCTGTCTGGCCTCGTGGAAGCTAAGCCTTGTTTCGCTACGTTTGTCCCGCTTATAGCTGGCAAATGCTTTCGTTGGTCGGTTAGCAGTTAGCGCGAGGCCCTCACCGCCATGAGCCCCCCTCCCGTGTTTTTTTCTGCCCTATTTTTAAGAGCAAACATGGAAGACGGTGCTTATTTTATCCAACATTGGTTGCTTTTTCCACGTCGTTTCCTATTCTTCCTCGACTGGCGTTTTTTTTTGGGGGGGGGCGGGGGGGGGGGCGGAGTAAACAGGCGCTGAGGTGGAGTGGGTCGAGAAAGAGCCGTCGTACTTCTTCAAGCTGAGCGAGTGGCAGCAGCCGCTCCTGGACTTCTACGCCGAGAACCCGCAGTTCATAGCCCCGGAGTCGCGGAGGAACGAAGCGGTGTCCTTCGTTTCGGGGGGGCTCAGAGACCTCTCCATTTCCAGGTCCGTGGCGATAAATCTGTCGGACGCCTTATTCTCGTTGGTTGTTTGGTGTGTGAATTGGCTTTTTTTTTTTTCTTAGTTGGTACTGCTATTAAGCATCGCAAGAGCAACACAGCAGTAAAGTCAAGCTCTACGCACACCCATCACGATTGCGAGTACCGTTTTTTGTTTCAGTGGTTTTGTTTTATGTGGTGGTGGTAATGGGGTCGTGCATCTTCTTCGAACTGTGGTATGTGTGGTGTTTTTTCTTCGCATGCATAGCGAAACACAGCAAGTCCAAACCACTGCTACAATACACACCTATTGCCACAGGGGTTGCGATTTCGTCTCATTTTTTTCTGTGGTGGTGATAGTGGGGGTCGTTCGTATTTACAAAGAAAACATCATATCAAGCATGCCGCCTTCGCATTCCCATCCACAGGACCTCCTTCTCGTGGGGGGTGCCGGTGCCCGGCGACGACGAGCACGTCATGTACGTCTGGGTCGATGCCCTGGCCAACTACATCTCGGCCCTCGGTTTCCCGGAGATGGGCGAGGCGGGAGAGTTCAGCAAGTGAGCCTGTTCAGTCGGTCGGCAACCAACCTCGTTTCGTTTCTCTTTATCTTTTTTTTGTTTTTCTTCCGAGGAAACACAATTCGAATTCAGCTCGCGTTTCACAGAAAAAGTGTCCAGCTCAAAAGTAGCAAACAACAAAGCTTTCTTAGTAGTTTTTTTTTTTTAGTGATGATTTGTTTGCTGTTTCTTCCGTAAACTTCTCCCCCCCCCCCCCACACCCACACACACACTTTCGCTTGCCAATGTCCCCACCCTCCTATCCTCCTACAACCAAACAAACGAGCCCTTAATAAACGCCAGGTTCTGGCCTGCGGACCTTCACGTCATCGGCAAGGACATCCTCCGCTTCCACTCGGTCTACTGGCCGGCCCTCCTCCTTGCGGCGGGGCTGGAGCCTCCCACGAGGCTGTTCGTCCACGGGTGGTGGACCAAGGACGGCCAGAAGATCTCCAAGAGCACGGGGAACGTGATAGACCCGCTGGACCTGGTGGCCCGGTACGGGGTGGACGCTACGCGGTACTTCCTCATGAGCGAGGTGGGTGTGGCTTTTTTTTTGCCGCGCGTGTTGGTGGCGTGTGTTGTTGTTGCCTGTCCTCTCTGCTTCCGTTTTTCCCGCTTCACTTTTTATCTCTCTCTCTCTCTCTCTCTCTCTCTCTCTCTCTCTCTCTCTCTCTCTCTATCTATCTATCTATCTCTGTCACGTTTGCACTCGTTCTCTCGCCCTCTCTCTCGCTGTCTCTCGTTCTGTCTCTCCCCCTCCCTCCCTGTTTGTCTGCATTCATGTCGCTTTTGTGTGTATTGATGTATCCGTCTCTCACACCCTCTCTCTCTCTCTTTATTGCTCCCTCTCTCTGCTCACGTACGTCCTCTCTCGCCCCCGACGGCGCCACGCCCAACGAAAGGTACCCTTCGGAAACGACGGAGACTTCTCGGAAACCGCCTTCCAGAACCGCGTGAACTCCAACCTGGCCAACGAGGTCGGAAACCTCGCCATGCGGACGCTGTCCATGGCGGTAAAGAACTGCGGGGGCCAAGTGCCACGACCGGCGACAGCTACCGATGCGGGGGACGTGGACGAGGGAGGTGACAAGGCGCTGGGGAGAGAAGACTTCGACCTTACGCCTGAGGACGTGGAGCTTCTCAAGTCCGCGGGGGAGTGCATTGGTGTCGTCAGGCCGCTGGTCGGGGAGACCCAGCAGCTGCACAAGGCCTTGGAGGCTATCTTGCTGGTGAGGAATCGTGGGGTACTCATAGCCGTGCATGCCGTAGTGGTAAAGGCAATGGACCTCGCAGCCCAAAGCTGGGACGGAGCACGCCGGGTTCTCACCGGGCCAGGCTCTCACATCGCCAAGCGCGAAGCACCGTGAGGTATTCGGCAAAGGGGGCGTTCTCGCATCGAGAGGGGTTGAGTACTTTGATCGTGTGTGTTTTGTGTTTTCTGTTGGGTTTGTGTTGCAAGAGGCTTTCATGCTATGGGGCAAGTCCTATACTTCCCTCTCTCCCTCTCTGTCTCACTCACTGCCCCCCCCACCCCTGTCA